GTGCATCTATATTGAGACTTGATTACCCACATGTTGGTTCTATTTATCATCATCAGTCATTTAGGTCAACATTGGATCATTCAGATATTCTCACTGAACCTCTTGTTAGGAATCCAGTTTATGTGGGTTGGTTTTGTGTTTTTCTCTCTCCACCACCAGGTGGTGCCCTGTTCCTCGTTGGGCCTCCCTGCACACCTGCGGCTCGTTGGATCATTACCGGAGGAGTATTTGAGCAGTGGGCTGTCACTACCTCGACGCAAGAATTTTTGCCAGTTTTGGGTACTCTAGCCAAGCTGAGATTAGCAGAGTCTAACCAAAGCTTTGTTTCTCTGAGTCTAATCTTGTTTTTGTCTTTGCTCTTCGGCAGTAAGCCTTTCCTGTGTAACTGGATAACCTGGACCTTCTCCCCCTGAAAGAATTACTGAGTACACACTGAGCAGGGGTAAACCTTCACATGATTCGTTCAAGTCCTCATTGGAAAACCAAGTGACAGTCTGCTCCTTTACTCCTCTGGGTCCAACATGAGTCAACCTGTCCGCTCTCCAATGAGTTCCCTCTCCTCTGGATTAATTCCCCACAAACTCCATTCAAGGATTAACAAGAGCCCCCTCAAACGTGAGTTTCTCTCCAGCTAAATTCAAGCCTCAGTCAAATTTCCTATGGTCCCTGAACTGTTCACTGTGACCTCTCCTTTGGACTTTCCGGTTGCGGTTCACCAGTCCACTGAGTTCCAGCTCCTACTTCTGTGTTTCATCAACATTCAATAAACCTGTTAAACTTTTTCCCATGGTCTCTGAGTGGTTCTCTGCATGTGGGTCAGATCGCTTAAACTAATTATGACACTTCTGGAGTTTACTGCACTGAAAGTTAAAGGGGCCAGTTAATTTTGCATGCCCCAGTCTTCAGTTTTTTATTTGTTAAAAAAGTTTGAAATATCCAATACATTTTTTTTTACTTCATGACTGTGTCCCACTTGTTGTTGATTCTTCACAAAATATTTTTCTATTTTATATCTTTATATTTAAATCCTGAAATATTGCAAAAGGTCAAAAAGTTCATTGGGGCCAGATACTTTTGCAAGGCACTGTACTTCATTGAGGCCAAACAACATAAAGAGTGGGTCATCAGAGCAGTACGTCTGTTCAAAGCACGTACAGTAACTGGTCTTGGCAACCAACTGCAACTGCAGCATAAAATTAGGACTAGCCCATGGAGGCATGATCTTGTGGGAAATTCACATGCAGAGAGTTACATGATAGGAATTAGACAAACATGGAGGTTATGAAAAAAAAGCTTAGGAATAGTGTTTTAATATTATTATAATTAATCTAGAAACTGCAAAATCCCATAACATGCTATCTGAAAGCAAGGCCAGTTATGTAAAAAAAAAAACAAAAAAAAAAACAAAAAGCAAGATTCCACCCGTCTTGTCCACTCAGCATAACATGGTAGTCTCACACTCACACAAAGCACTTAATGATAAAAACAATAAGGGTGATTCTAGAGTTGTGTCCTGATGTATTTCAATCACGAATGCCCAACTCCAGTCCTGGAGAGCTCCAATCCTTTAACTTTTGGATGCACTTTTGGATGACTATTAAAAGGCCTAATGGGGATGTCTGCAATTATCCTTCATGATATAAGTGGCAACTTACTGGACAGGTGTCATTACATCTTCATGAGCTTAAGTCTGTTTGTCTCTGATTTGAACCAGTTTGAAGCTTAGTACTAAGAGTAAAATTTACAGCTAACAATAAATTAAAAGATTTCCAATGTGCTTTCCTGAATTGGTCAAACAGGATACTTTCCGTGAATTCAAACAGGAATGTCAAAGGAATATTTGAAGAAGCCTCAGGTATGTTCTTTTTAGCCGGAATTTATGGGCATAATGAGATTTGTGGAGAGACTTAAAACCTGAGATTAAGAGGATATGAGTGAAAAAGACGTGCTACCTTACCAGATAATACAATTAAGGGTGCTATTAAAAGGTGTGTGTTGAGAAGCAGAGGAGGTGTTTTAACACCACATCAAGATCAATACCAGATTTTATGGCTTATATGCTGTTCTTAATTTAAACCTACAGGCGCTGTTAATGCAATATTCGTTTTTTTCTTTTTAGGTCCAAATTAGCACTTCCAGCAATGTATTACTGAGCAGAGTGTGTGTTCAAAACATTTGCAAGATAATTAAAACGGTTTAAAGGTACAAAGCCTACTAACAATAGTCCGCTTGTCACCAATAACCATTAACATTTCCCTGTTAAATGTTGTCATTAACATTTACATCAAGGCAAATTAATCGATCTTCATGTTTTATTTCTAAAACATGGTGAAGTAATGATGAAGGCAATACATGGGGGGAAGTATAGGAGAAATGTCACATGGACAAGCTGGAATTATTAAATGTGTGTTAACTTACTTTGGCAGTAATTGATTACATAGTTTCCCTTTTCTATGTGTAGTCATTTAAGCCCTGACGGATTCTAAACAACTAAAAGCTCTTTCTTACATAATATTTAACAAAACAGACTTCTGCTTTAATCTGCCGTTAACCTGGTACTTGATGATTTATTGAATTGAACAACAACATTTGCTCCACTAAACTGTTACACGGAGAACCAGTAGTAATCCATTAACCCTTGTGAACTTTAAAAAACAGATTTTTAAAATACCCATGAATTGCAGTTAAAAACTTAAATTCCTTAGGGTTCAAAGTGTCCCGGCATGCTATTCTTTACCTGCAATGGACCTCGGGTTATACAATTTCGTGAGGAAGTAACTGATTTAGCACAAAAAAGCATCAAACTTTTCAGAACACCGAATTTAGAATCTATCACAATTAATTGGCTAAAATTACCTAATTTTGTCAGGTGAAAATTATCTTAAAAAGTTTGGTCAATTTTCCCTGGAAAGTTTCTCCTTTTCATCTTTACATAATTGTACAAGGCAGTTCAGGTCTACATAGCAGAAAGGAGAAAAAAACTGGCAATGCAAGATCCATCAGTTTTCAGTTGATATTTTACAAGTTAGCAGTGGTATATTTACATACACTATTCTATATCTTCCTAGCACTGCAAAGACATAACATTTAAATTACTCTGAGTAAGCTCTTAGGTCAGCTTTCTATGCATCTGGTCGTTCAACATTATCCATGCATTTTACAAGCAGGTTCTCCCCTGATTTACTTGGGTACTGGAACCAGGCAAACTATAGCATTGCACAGCAAATATACGATTCACTCAGTTGTAGAATGTACTCTGTTGCAAACTATTTATTTAAGAAAGTTGTGCCCTTTAGAAATAACATTTGATTAAGACAACTTTCAAGAAGACCTACAAATTTGAATTTGTGTGTCCTCAAGTAGAGAGATATTTAGTATTTTAAGGTAAGTCTTGATAAGGCTTACACATTTCTTTTAGGCTCTTAGGTAGGCTAAAGGAGGATCTCATAGAACTGGTCTAGGGTCCTGTGCTAAATTAATTATTCACTTTCACAGATGTAAGCTGCTTCACAAACTGTACATACACAGTGGGATTCAGCACTGGGAGTTTCAAGCAACTCTGTGATGGTTAAAGGAGATTAAAGGCCAATGTGTGTGAGCTGTCCAACCAGCACACATACCCATATGGTGACTAAAAAGATGGAAAAAGAATCCGGGGCAGTCAAAAATATCTCTATCTTTGCTTGCATTTGTAGTTATTTTTACTCAAAAATGTAAGTTAAGTTCACCTCTCAGTTTATACCAGGTTTCATTAAAACATGACATAAAAGCTTGAGGTAAACACAAAAGTTGCCACATACACTATCACTGTCTTATTGTGTTATTTTCTCATTATAGCCCTGGATGAAAATTGTAAAGGTAAAAACAGTTTTTCCTGAGATGTTTTGTTCAAGTCTGAAGTTGAATATAGAATCTATTCTTACAATATCAATTATGTTCAAGTAGAAGGCAAGGCAAGGCTAGACATATGCATTTATATTACCTATTCAGTACCAAGGCATTTAAAAGTAGCCTACTTTACAACCCTTCTTTTGTGTGTGAAGTATGCCAATTCCAGCTTGAATTTTTTGGGGTGGTTGAATTTTGTGCAGCCCTTTTTGGATTTCTTGAACAAATGGACATTTGGAGAAGCACTGATCAGTTAATAAGGCATCAGGAAGGTTGTTGACTGAGTAATATAAAAAGAGGAATGGTTGAAAGACTCTAATTTCTTTATACCACTTTTTAGATATTAGCACCTAACACTTCACATAACACAACTATAAATTTTATTAATCCTGGAGATGCTCTCAGGATTAAATGACAGGTTATAGAAGCTGACTTTCTCGCCATGCTTTCTAGCAGACACTGTATTCTGCCTTGAGCATATCCAGAGCAGAGCAAATTTGCAAGAGTAGACTTGAATCACTCTCTAATTACAGTATCACACTATAGTAGTGTACATGTAGACTTTACAGTAAATAGAACAGTAACCCAGTAAAGTTGTTATTTATATAGTAAGTTTTATTTTAAAAGGTAAGAGGATGTGGCAAGCAGTTCATCGGACTATCCCTATGAAATAAGTACTAGGACATAGGGGTCTACAAGCTACAGCCAAACTTTCTTGGTTGCTCTGGGTATTTTCTTTGCTTCTCTAAATACTAGCAGTGTAGGTAGACTAGTATATTTTATTACTTTTGTAGTTCTGCCATATATTTCCATTTCTTCCATTTCTTATAAATAATTGAACGGTTATCTGTGAGATATTTCAAGATTGAGATACAGTAATGCTTTAAAACCTAAAACTCTTTCATACATCTCTATACTGTTCTCTCTGAAATATCTATTGTGTTCTTTAGTCATACTTATGCTGTCAACTGATGTAAAGCTTTCACTGTATCGTTCGACCTATATTAAGATGAAACTAGCAAAGTGCAAAGTGGCAAAGTGTTGCAACACCTACGCAGGGTTTTCAACCTGCAAGCTGAAAAGTAAGTTAGGTCATATTAAAAAACCTTTACCTTCTCTTCGGTTGACTTTAGCAAAGCCTGGTCCGTGACTGCTTGATAGCTGAGAGGAGCTCCTGAAGGATGATGGTGGCAGATTGTACACCAATGGGTTGTCACACACATCTGTTAAATAAGCAAAACAGCAGAAAATACAGAAATCAGTATTTAGCATAGCCACTTGTTTAGACCTGCAAGACAAGCTTTGATGCTGTTGTTTTAAATTACAATACATCTCTATTGTTGAAGAGTTGGTTACAAGGTACATTTTCTTTAAACATTTAAACTTATAATATAGAACAGAATTATTGGAATAAAACAGTTTGGTTTTAGTAGAAGTAAAAAAATTAGAATATTTTAATACCAGGCATTTCATAATTGAACATGTCACGAAGGAGACATAGGTATAAGAACAATTTTCATATTAATAGGTGACTTATTAAGCAACTGCAAATTTGCAAAACAATAAAATCTGCAAGCTTTGGCCATGATTATGTGCATGAAGGGCAAACTCCTTCACCCGATGCCACTGTCACCCAAGTAAGTAATTAACATAACAGTGATACAAACATTATTAAATAATAAGTTAGATTACTCCATTACTAGAAAAATAACACTGTTAGTTACAGTATTATTATCTAAATTATTATTAGCAAACACTGCTTCTCCCTACACTAATATGTTGGACTTGACTCCAGTAGGTCTTAATGTGATGTCATGTTTTTCAATGTTTTTCAAACTGTGTTTGGTCATCTGCTGGGAAGCTGTTTCTCAGCTTTTCACTGTTGCTTCTCTTAGCTGCCCAGATATCCATGATCAATTCGTTCCTAACCCTTTTATACAGGCTGGTATGCTGGTTCCCTTCCGAAATGATTTTGTAGGAAGATATACATTTAGTAGAATCTTCTACAGGCCAATCGTTCGGGGAGTTGCTTTTAGTTCGCCATGCGTACATGCAATACATTGTATAACCTTAACTAAAAAAGGACAAATTCCACTGTCTGGTTTTCCCCAAGAAACTTCGCTCAAATGTTCAACATTTGCCGACCCGGTCTTCACTGGGCCACCATCTTGAATTCCCTTTTAGTCTCGCAAAATCTTGCGCTAAGCTCACATCTTACGAATTGGTAGAGTCTTATCCTATTGTTCATATGTTGTCATGACGCAGCACAGAGGGGAGCTGTTGTTGTTGGAATATCTAATATCCCTATGCACAATTTCGATGACAGGAACAAGCATGTTGCACTGTTTCCTAACAAACTTTGGAAAGTTTATGAAAACTCATCAAATGCCAGATAAATGTTGGATTTTTTTTTTTTAAGTATTTTTGTTCTTTGGGACAATACTGTTCGTTAGTGATGAGTGTCATGAGGCGTCATGAAGTTTTCCAACACATTTGCAAACTAATGATATTGATTCAATACTGTGTCACTGAATACTGACACCTGCTGGACATCTAAAATTCCTACAATCAGCCCATTTGACAGAATAAACTGACACTGATTTGATGACCTACAATATGATTTACGAAAGCCATTGTTTGCTATAATGTATTATTTCATATCTATAGTTTGAACTGAAAATATGACATTTTAGATGCAATCCATAAATGTGAACATACAACGGGAAAATTTAAGTGAACATGTGAATAAGGAGATTTGTGGACTACGATTTATTTATTAATTAATTTTTCAACATAAATGATAACGAGTTTGTGAATTTGGGGGAAATGAAGAGAGGAAAAAGGGAGAACCACAGAGTGAGCAATCTCCAGCTTCTTCGCGAGCAATCAGGTAGAAAATGTGACTTGCATAAAATTTTGTGTAAAGATTAAAAACATTGAATTAGTGATCACTGGTTTCAACCTGGAGTTAATAGGAATGTCCAGCAATATCTATTTAAGTAAGATATTGATTTAGAATTCTTATTTTCTTTCTTATTGTTCTTTGAATATGTACTAGATAGTAATTTTACATAAATTTTTACAGTCTGAACTGCCTTCTTTTTAATAAGTTGTGTTGCATAACTTAAGATTTCTCGCGGTTTCACAAAAAGCATACTTTCACCTTGAAGCCTATAATGTTTAGTAGTCAAAGTTTACCAGACTATCAAATCGAAAACAGAAGCAACCATTTGTGATTACACAAATAAGAGAAGGGAGGAATGTTTGCAGATTTATACATTAAAATGACCTAAACTGTATGTTATTGTAAGCTAAAGATTGTGGGTAATTGACTGCAACAATACAGGAATCATTCTACCTTTTCATAACATAGCCATTAAAATTGTTTATTTTTGTTTCATGAGAACAGACTGTGGAGTTATAATTAGTAATTGCTTATTGCATATTTTTGCATTTTATAATTTTCTTCAAAGACTATACTATTCATTTGTACAGTATAGTGAAATGACCCTAAAAGTTAAAAAAAAAAATTTCAACTTCAAAATAGAGGAACATAGCTTACTAGTGAAAGTTTTGTTATTGTGCCTCCTAAGGTTAGTGAGATCAGGGGATGAATGAGTCACATGTCACACACACATGCAAAAAAAAAATCAAATGATGAGTGAAATAAAAGTTTCGGATGGAAGGAGTTTATGTGTCACTGCATTAGAAAAGAGAGGACAGCAGTAATTAATGTTGATGTGATACAATTACCCAAATCCTCCACTTTTCTGTTGAGATTTTATTCTTTATTTAATTACCTCCATATTTCCTCCTGTGTTTCTCAAATATACACCATGATCTGCTATCTCAATGTTAACGTTACCAGACATTTGGCTAGGATCATCTTTCTTCATAATTTGATTTAATAATAGGTGATTCATAGCCACATGTCTAGGGTATTTCTTCTTGCATAGGTTTACAAATGCAAATGACTGGTTGAAAATAGGCAAACAATTTTTCAGTAAATTCTGCCAATACAAGCAAATTGCATTTAATTGATAATACACAAGAAGAGGGACATGCACTAAAAGCAAGATGACATAGTATTTATTGAAGGAATACGGTTATCACAGCCAGTTGGCCAGGAGAAAACAATCAAGAAGAGTTTTCGAATTTTTATTATAAAAGGTTGAACTGTTTTATATTCATATGCTAATTGAAACTCAAGACAACTGGTAGGATTCTTGCTGTTATATTACAGAAAAGAAGAAGGCTGAGGAGGAAGTTTGTACAGGAAATACATAGCTCACATTAAAGATGGAATAATGAAGATGTTTAATACCCACATGTGGGATAGATAACTGCTGATGCACTTGTTGGCGCTGATACCATGCAGCATAAGGTTAACCACTCTTTTTGTTTCCCACTTACAAACATTTTTTATTATTGGCTTAATCACTAATTAACTTCAGCAGCCTATGAGTAGTTTTCTCTTTACTAAGTTTGGAATATCTGGTCAGCAATATAAAACCATATTTTTTTCCTATTTGGGCAGTTCCGGTTATCTGTTTTATAAAATAAGTGAAAATAAAACAAATGATCTCATTTCATTTAAACTCAGCCAAATTCCAGGTGTTTAAATGTAAACAAACAGGTAAAAATAGAGCCTATTAGTTAAATTTGTCAGGTAAATATTTGAACATTGAGAGAGGAAGATTATAGCTACAAAGGTCTTAATAAAAATGAAAGCTTAATGTTATCTTTAATAATAGCCTATTTCTTTTTTTATAAAGGGAACTGGGTGACAATCTGTTGTTGAGTTAAAAGAAAAACTCAACAAATGCATGCTACATTTCCTAAATATAAATTTTTCTTGTTGCACATTTTTCAATATCATTGGAAATATAACCTCAAACATACTTTTACTTTTTTTTTTCAGTTAATAGCTGATGTTTCGTCTATGCTGTTTCAGAAACTGTTAGTGAAGTTGTGACCTTGGCAGGTGATTATCGGGCTGATACTAAGTTACCTGAAGAAATGATAGGGCCATTTGATAAATGGTCAGTCTTTAAAGAGGTGAACTTCCATATCGTAGTAGGCCTTGGGCAAACAAAAAACAAAACAAAAAAAACACCCAGAATTCACAAGGCAGACAGATGCCCTGAAGTTTGCTGTCACTTTTATTACTAAAGTGTTTGTCCCTGAATTAATAAATCCAGATTCATGAGTGGTACCACAAGCCAGTGCCACCTTTATGTAACCTTGATTCAATCGGAACCTTTTATGACTCTACTTCTACTGAACACTTGACATAAAATGAAGGTGATTTATACCACACCGGCATGCATCGACCTCTGATTTACTCTCTAAAAGACATTCATCCTATGATGGAGCATGAGGAAGAAGAAGGGTTCCCAGAGAAAATGGCTATAACATTCAAATTAAACAGAATTTATTCCGAGGTCTATGTTCTCTTTATGCAAACCAGCAGCTTAATAGAAAGTAATATGTTTTGATTAGACAAAGTTGTTGGGCAGGAAATTTTTTCAGGTTGAAAACAAGTTTGAGTTCTTTGGATCAGACTGCTGCCTGATTCTCTTAGCACTGGTCCCTCATGGTTCTACCTGCAGGTGGTGGGACAACTGGGGGATAGCCTTGTGACAATCTTTTGGCTTGGCCCAACCCAGTCCAACGTGAGGAGCCTGATAACCAGGCGCTCTTCAATGACCCACATAAACCCCACCTCCTGCTGAACTCCTGCTGTTCTCTTAGTCGTGTCGAGGTATGCGTTGGGAAGATCTTAAAAATACATCTTCCCTAAAGCAAACCTGGAGGCTTTATAGCTGCATCCAAGTCAGCATGTCACATTCGATGTCACCATAGCTTACCTACTATTAACCCAGGTCCCAAACCAACTTTGAGAATAGAATAACACTGATATTTTTTTTTTGCCTGATGTGAGTCTGGCATTAACGCAGCACACTGTCTGAGGACAAGGTTAAATATGGTAAGATCCACACTGGCGGTAAGGACACTCGGTTACACCAATCGAAAGTCACTAAAATTTGTCTTTCTTCGGTGAGTAAATTTGCCAGACCAATGTTGGATTCCATAAGTTTCTTTGATTCCCTCCCTGATCTGACCACTGATGACATGTTAAGCCGAATATCGCCATTGAACTGCTGGTTGTCTAGGTGGTGTCCTGAAAACGATGTAGGCTACATGGATAATTGGCAAAATCTTGGGAGAGAAAACCTGGTCTACAACAGAGAAGCAAAATCCATCCAATTTTGGATGGCGCAGCTCTTCTTTCTTAAAAAATCTGGCCAAATTTAGTAGTCCTTTAAAAGTCTTAAAGCTCAGGGTGCACAACAGGAAGCACAATAGTAGTGTAACACACCTCTCTGCAGCTTCTCTACTGTTACCCACCCATTACTCTATTCAGGGTCTTGTCCATGACCAAAATCAAAAACATTAGAAAAGAATACTAAAGGAGCAAATCATGATAATGTAATTCAAATTCAAATGACCACGATCAGGGAAACATTTATAACTTTATGTTTTCTCTACTTTTCATGTCATAGTAGCTTCATCAGTTCTGTTCCCATGTGGCTGTGACACAGTGACAGAGAGATGTCAGCTGTGCTGTGCTATCAACAATTTTGTATATAGATGTTAGAGCCTGACAAGTTTTTCAGTATGGTCATCTTGCTGTGACTAACTGAATGTGCTCTCTTTCATCTTCTGACACAGACTGCTCATGGCCCATCTGCAACAGGAGCAGCCAACCAAATTACTGGAATGTTCATGTGTGTGGTTTGTGAATATAAAGTTTTGCAGCTACATCATTGTTTTATTTCTCCTTACTTTTTTTGTTTGGGTCAGGACATTAAATAGATCAATAGCAATGTGCCTTACTCATTTTAGGTCTACACGAGTAGATACCTTTCTTTTTGTTTTTACACTAATGCAATTTTAATTTTGCTGTCAGAGATTTCTTCATACAGATTATCATAACTATCTTTATTAGAAATAACTGCAGGTTTATTCTTAATAGTTACTCTAAGAAAAATGTAACAGTTAGTGTATCAACTACAAAGCTTTTGCAGCCTGGTCTTGTAAAAGAAGTTGTTTTATCAAGAGCAAAATCTATAGTGTCTTCTAGTTCTGCTCAGACGACCAGAAAAGTCGAAAATAATTCTCTTTCAGTAAAGTGAATATTGCTCTAAGACCAATATATGAACAGTTTTCCACTCAAGAAAGAAAAATTACCACACCACTATGAACTGTTGTTAATACAACAAAGCAACAATGATATGCAGGACTGATAAACCATGTCTGCATATAGAATGCCTTAACCTGACATTCTTTTTTTTTATTTTATGTATTTTTTTCTGAGGTAGTAGATTCTCTATTCCAAGAAAAAGGCACATATGTTAAAATGTATGCAATTGTTTCTTTGCAATAAGCTTTTTCTTTTTATATTTAAAGTAAAACTCATATTGCAATGTTCTATTTCAATAACAATTTTAAAATTCTAACCCAATCATGTCTGTAAAAAAAAAAAAAAAACAGCTTATCTGGGATGTAGCATATACAACCTAGGAGAAAACAAATTTAATCATGTTCCTAAAACAGCATATGAAAACATGTTATTTTTTGTGAAGAACTGAACAACTTGAGAATCTATATCTGAATTTCAGTGCCAGATGAGCTCTATACTGAACAGGAAAATGATAAGAAGACAATTCTTTCTAAGAAGGAGATGATGTTAAGTCTTTTAAGGAGGAAGTAATTGCCATCTGTTGCTGTTATGTCGGATGAAAGTGCAGCATAATAAAGAATCAATTCACAGGCCCGTAAATGTCAGTGGTGACAACATAAACCAGTTGTTTCTGTGAAGATTAGGAGGTCAGAAAAAAATACATCTTTGAAAGTCCACCCTAGTATCCTTCTTGACCTAAGGCAAAGACAGCATAAATCATTTGTCTAAGGCTTGGTTGAATGCCCAGATGTGCTGTATGTGATCAAACAGCTCATGGAAGAAAGCATTGGTATAGAAATACCGTAACTAATAAGATTCATTCTCCATCTACAAAGATAGAGAGAGGAGTGACAACACTTTCCATCTGATTTGTACCTATATCAATTTGTTGATGTTAAAACATGTTTAGTGCCTCTGATGATTAAGCTACACTATAGTCCTATTAAAGTTTATAAAGGCTATGCAACATGGCCTGCACAGCTACCTATAGTCTGAGCCTTACAAAACCAGACCCCTTTTGCTTTTCTTTTGTCCTTCGTGTTTGATTAGCAGACGGAATTAGAAGTTAGAAAACACAATTTATCTATTTGATAAAACTATGGATAAATTTTGCCCCACAATATCCCTCCCATTTAAAAACTGTTATCTCTCAAACAATCAATAAAGCTGAGAAATCACAGTGCCTATCAGTGCCTCTCTTCCCTGTCCTCCTGAATCTATCAATTCATTCACAAAATCGTTTTCTGACCCGTGTCCAGCTGATTGAGTACTTGTGAAAGCATTTTGATACTGTAATTACAGTAAAAGGGGGCAATCTTCAGATTTAACCAAAACAATTTCAACTGTGCAAGTCAAGAAAATATTAATTCAAAGCTTTCAGTGTTGAAACAATACAGCTCGCCTGCTCTGAGACTCAATAACTGCATGGAGTAGGATAACCTTGGGGGAAAACTTTTTAAAGTTTCTTTAAGTGGTTCACTTTCAAACATTTCTTAAAAAAATAAAATAAAATCAACATCTAAAGTATTTTCTGGAAGCCTATTAGGGAATAAATCTGGAACAAAATAGCAAAAGTATCCCCAGGTTAAATCTTTCCAACATCTCTTTTAATGGTTGTTTTCTGCTTTCGAAAAAAAAATAAAATGAAATGGTTAAGGGAAAATGTAAAAGGCAACTTGTGGGATTTGGTGTCTGTTACTTAAAACTTGACATCAACTGATCCACAGAGCATGAGTGGTAACATGAAAAACAACCCTCCAGGGTGGTCAGATCATATCTGGGCCAATGAAAATCTCTGAAACATAAATAATATATATATATATATATATATATATATATATATATATATATATATATATATATATATACACTGAAAAAAAAGATACTTTGTATCAACTTGAAAAAGTTACTGTAATTTGTTACACCTAAATTTATTACTTTGTCTCAAATTAAGTTTCTGATGTGGTTGAAACTGTACATTTTGATTTACTAGAAATATATTTTTTACCTTAAGCCTAAGAAAGAAACTACATTCATACAAAGTAAAACTATAACTTATAACAGATCATTAACCAGTTTTATGCTTTTTTATAATCTATTTTTTCTATTTGGAAAAATGAAATCTGTACAATTACATACAAGTATAAATGTAATTTGGAATAAAGTAGTGACAAAAATGTAAAACTGTATTTATTTCAAAGAATAAAAACATAATTCCGATCCAACTATATTGACCACAGACAGGATTTATAAGTCATGATAACTTAGAGCTTGACCTTTAGTTGTTATAAGATCATTAGTTTGATCCTATTTTCTTTTTAAGCTAAGTTCCTCTGAGTTCGTACAATCGTCTCCATATGATAACGGAGCAATTTCTCTTGATGACTACAATGCCTGTCCATCATAATCCTTGTTATTCCAAAACTGAGCAGACTGCATTAGTTGGAACAGCTGCCTTGCTCATGGTGGTGCTGTGCTGCTCACACCTATTTTCAATTAGTCAGGTAATGAGGTCACATTCACATGAGTTACAGCATGTGGAAGGATAAATGCCTAGTGACACTATTACCTTTGACTTGAAGTAGATATTTACTTGGAAAATAATTGCTTTAGTTGATTGTTTCTGTGATAAGTGATTTTTAATTCCAGGTAAAGTGAAATTATTGGTTTCAAACCACACATGCATTTTTTAAGTTGAAAAAACATCAACTTTTAAGTTGACCGAATTAAATGGACATTTCACTTCTTTCAGTGTATGTATGTGTGTGTGTGTGTGTGTGTGTGTAGCAAGAAAAGAGAACACTGCTAACACTACTTAAGTTACGGTAAAAATGAAATTTCTTATTGTTTCATGAGTAAAGGGTTTTGATATTTTCAGATTGTTAGATACAAGTTGCATTCGAACTGCCTGAGAACAAAGACCGAAAAAGTTCCCGGACAAAGACCTGAACCAGAAGTGCACAGAGCCGCTCACCTTCTCCATCCGTCCCACCTGAGCCAAACAGCACTGAGGCGACAAATGCAATCATCCGAGCGAGTCTTTTATTTCCAAGAGACATTTTAAAAAGGACAGGATGCCGGAGAGCGAATTTTCACTTCAGAAAGCTGCCGTTCTGTCCGTCAATCTCCTCCTGTGCGCCTCTGCAACTCTCACTCTGGTGCGTCGCGCTGCAACAGAGCCTATAGTAGGATGCGGAGGGTGGCCAGCACTCGATGAGAGAGAAGGATGCTCTCAGGCTCTCTCCCTGGTGTCCAGTAGAGCATGCAGAAGAAGGAGGGCTTTTCTGGGGCTTTGGTTGGTTCGAAGTAAAAGCACAATCTCATCTCGCGGGGGGATGGTGGAATTCAGACTTAGAGAGTCTCTATAGTTTCAGTAGAACAGAAAAGTGGGACCATGAGGCTGTATATGTATATATATATATATATATATATATATATATATATATATATATATATATATATATATATATATATATATATATATATATATATATATATATATATATATATATATATAATGCAATTTTACATCAGAGTGTATTTATTTTTTACAAAACCATTAGGTTTTACTGTTATAGCATTTTTTAAAGCCATTTACATTCTGACGTTATATTTGTCTAGCATAGTTGAGACCTATGTTTATATGTATTTCTTTGTTTAATAAAGAAAATAAAAACATGTTCTACATTGCCCACATACAGCATAATAATAATATATCAAATGTTTAGTTGCAGAACAACATGCCAGATGTATAGGGATGACATAGTCATCTATTTGCATGCTCAAATGAAAAGCCAAACTGCCAAGCTGCAATAAAAGTTGTACAAAAGTGGCAGACCAGCTTAGATATTTTTTACATTTAATGTGGGCAATGTTTAGGCAAATGTTACAACCAAAGTAGCTTTTACTAAATCAGCAAAAACATGTGTTAGTTCAATGATTGTGTTAGAATTTGCTACTATTTGACTAGTTGTAGGCAAACAAGAAAAACAAGACCGCAGTCAGTCAGTGGAAAGAGTTTTATGTCAGTAACTCAAGGATTTAGATAGCAAACACAGTTCCTACCTAATTTCAGGGTTCTCTCAAAAATCTCAAAATGTTTTTAGTTGTGAAAATATAATTAAATTTCATGACATAGTACTTCTTTATAAAACACTTTAAGTTCTAGGCAGGGATTTATTTACCTTAAAGACAGTTTGGTCACATGAGGTCAATGTTGGGATCCGGAGGCTTGCCCACCAGAGGGCGCCAAGGATCCCTTTCTGTGAGTTTGTGTTTCTGTTGGGATCTGGGGTTCTGTCCACCTTTCTCCTTCAGAGGGCGTACTGGATCTCCTGAAGCTGGAGCTGACTTCACCAGCTGTTCCTCATCTGCTCATCAGGAGACCAGTACTTAAGTGGGCCGAGGACAACACTCCTGTGCCAGAGTGTTTAGTCAGTTATGGTACAGCAAACCCTGAGCCAACCTGCCTGTCTTGTCTCCTGACTTGAACCTGAACCTGATCCATTTTGTCTTCTCCGCTTCCCAGGTTGAACCTGTCTGAAACCAGAAACCCCCTGAAGAGTTTCTCTGTTGGAAATCTGTCTGTCTGATCTCAGAAGAATCCAGGAGAACCAAACCTGCCAAGGATCTGCTAGCCTGCTCCCTGAAGAATCTGGAAATGAAACTCAAACCTGGTGATCTGCAAGCTCTAAACTAAGCTCAGCCTCCACCAAGCCCTCAGCCTGCCGCCAGCCTGTGAACCCTCCTGGTTCCCCCTTCTGCTGCTCTGCTCAACCTCCAGAACAGTAAACCCTGTCGTGACCAGCCCTGGACCTGATTACCCCCTGACCTGTTTTTGTTTTCATTATTTATTAAACCTTTGAACTTTTCCCCAGTCTCAGAGTGTGTTCTGCATTTGGGCTAGTATACCAACCCTTCATGAGAGTCAAAGCTATTTCTGTCATGATTGCAGCCCGTTAGCTGATCTGATTACTCACTTCATTCACCTACCATTCCTTCCCTGCTGTCTATTTATCATTTATCTAATTCACCTGCTCTCTCTGCTATATATATGGTTCAGCCCAACTATCGGGGCCAGATCATTATTAGTGTATTCTTAGTTTATTTGTGTTACGTTTTCATTTTTTTTATTCATGTTTGTTTTTTGAGCTTAGTTAAGTTCCTGGTTCATGTCCTGACTCTTGGAGGCCAGAGGATTAAGAGGGTGTCAGTGTTTGTCTCCTGTCTTCTGATCAAGTCCCGGGTTTTCTCTGCTGAGCCCTCAGGGTTTTAGCTTGGTGTGCGGCAGGAGCTTGGGTTCTGGCCAGCCCTCAGGAAATTTGGCTCAGAACACGGGTGAAGGTATGTTTTAATTCCAATAAGCCTGGCTCCAAGATGGAGACCACTTTTATGTCGGGAATACACTCTATGATTTTTTTCAATTGTTGCACACAGCTACAGCTCACAGATCATGATGTTTGTTCTCACACTGTGCGGCCAAATGCTCTGATGCAATCTACCTGCTCACACTGTACATCTAAAAACCACGCCAGACTCAGCTCTTCAGTGAGATGGCGCTACTAGGACTCATTTATCCGGAAGCCAAACAAGGAGAAGAGGAAAAAGCTGGAAGTGTTGAGGCCTCCTCTTAAATATGAAGCTAACTAGAGTGAAATGCCCTGTCTTGGCAATTTTGTGTCCTGAAAGCCCTGAAATACAGAAGATAACGTATTTGGACAAAGACATGGCTGAGCAAACGTAGCTACTACGATCTGTCAATTTTACAGAAAGAACTCCATTTCACTCGCACCCCCGCCAGGCGTCTGTGTTTTCGTCTCAGAGGAAGAAGAAGAAGAATCCTTGTTTGCCCATGCCCACTGAGCAATTTGCTCACACGATGGCCGACTGAATTTCAGACATGTTTGATTTTCTGCTGACCTTACGATTCTGGATCGGGAGATGGTCTTGAGAGGCTGACCTTCCTTTTCCCCTGTACACTACACAACATGCAATCAGTCTGAAATTTGGCTCAATCGAAAAATGGATTGAGTGGAGAATCAGGCCAAAAAGTGCAAATAATTTTACAGTGTATGACCGGCTTAAAGTTCTGCAGTAATTCCAGTACCATGTCTTGTCTCGGTCCCTCAACCACTGAGCCTGCCTGTCTCTCAGCGTGTCTGTCTGAGCTCGTTGCTGGACTCATGGAACTCTAAACCTGCTTGAATTGTGGATTCCTAGAACGCTGGATCTGTTTGTTCCTGTTTGGATCGGAACCCCTGGTCAGGCTACAGCCTCCTGGATTCCAAAACTGTTCCTGTCTGATCTGTATCTCTGACCTGGATCGGATTCCTATCTTGTGTGTCGATGTGTGCCAGCGTTCTTCACCGTAGTCATTACTTATACAAAACTCACCCATAAGTTTGCCCTAATGTATGCCAGGGTTTTTGCCAGATTTTTTGTACGTCAGGCATTCACTGGCTAACTCGTCAATGTGTCACAGGGGCTTATCCACAGCACATGTTTATTATTTATTACATGCATATTGATGTTTTCTACTAATGGGTGTGTCTTGTCCTGTTTGTTAACATAAACCTGTCCTGGGACTGTGAAAGAAAATGTAAGCTTATATATACTGACCCATCTTAAATAGTTACTTACATAACTAACTAAGAAACCACAACAAATCTCACAAACGTAAAAGCAGGTAGGCTACATGGCTTCAGAATTTCAAGTATTGATAAATAAAAAAGGTTCTGAAACACAAACACAAAGATCCTTCTGACCTTCAGGAGGTGTGGAAACAAGAGTAATTTGATTTGTACCCTCCTGAAGGTCATGAGTGGGTGTGACAGACTTTCAGCACTGTGTTCACTTCTAAACCTTTGATCTTTGTGTGCTGGTCCTTAACAATGGGATTGCTTTTGCTCTTTGAAGAGTTTCTTTTCACAATACACTTTTTTTCAAAACGGGTATAAAACGAGGAAACTAGCATACACCTTTGGATAAAAAGAATTGTCCCTTTTTTCTACACTGATTATGTAAATTTAAGGTGCCTGCAACACAAAAGGCCAGTGAAGTACGTAGTGCTTAATAACTTATCTATAGAGCAGGTGCATTTAAAGATCAAGCTTTTTTTCTGTATTAGACTCCCTCACAAGAGCATGCATGGGTGAGAGATTTTTGGGGATTTTGTACTAAAGGAAAATTATGAAAATATTATGTGTACTTCTTGTTCATTATACCAACTGCAGAAGCTTTCTTTCAAATGTTTAGCCTTCCAAATAAAATATAGGAATGTTCAGCCATTCGCTTTTTTTGCGGGGACAATCACAATGGTAACATAACCTGTAAAATGCTGTTACAAAATACATTTTTGATTAAAAATGGATCGTCCAGTGAAATACAGTTAGAGTAGTTGTCCTGAAAAAAAAAAAAAAAAAAAGAACAGTTATGAACCTTCATAAGCAGAGGTGGTCTCCCTTCCTGGGTTAAAAATGGCATCTATATTTTAACAGTAACAAAGAGACTTTTCAAAAATAATAATCCATGAAAGAGTCTTAGGGCACAATGCAATGCTGAACAAACATTCATTGGCCTAATGAGATTGGAGTGGAACCTGTGAGTCCTATCATGCTTGCCCATAAAATAACACAGCTTTTCAGGAAAAATATATCATATTAAAAGTTAAATGCTGCTACAGGACCTGAAATAATAGGCTTTTACTGTAAAACAAAAGTGAATTAAGGTTATTCTAACTATATGCTACTTTTTGCTTGTCTTTCACTTAAAGTCTCACCTGCAGCACACCTCAATTTAAATGGGACATAATGGGAGAAATTCAAGGGGTTTAAATACCTTTGCAATGTTTTTTTTTAACAGTCCTATTCTATTTTTACAGTCCTTTTTTTTAGTCTTAAAACAAGATTTTTCTAACCCTTGCCACTACACCACAGTAGTACAGAATCTTACAATTTTAGCATTTGAACAGCTTATATTTGGTTTTGTTTTTATGTTAAGGATGGTTTTCTACACATAATAAATGCTTTAAAATATTTTTTATTTTCTGCAACGTGGAGGAGTTTACATTAAATGCATCGGGGACATGAACACTCTCACTTCATCTATGAAATAAGCATAATGTGAGCAAACTACAGTCATTTACATATAATTAGCATATGCATGACTGTACAGGTGCAGACAGGATTATTTTGGCATAAATCTACTCTGCATGGCTCTATTTCCCTGCAGTAC